CCCCCCCCTCATACTCTGCTCACTGCTAAATATCCCAAAGTCATTGGACCCGAGGCCCAATGACTCTGGTGCATCGGTAAGGGTCTTTGCAACTGCACGCAGAAGACATGAGTTCGATTCCCGAATAGACAGATTGTTTATGAAGTAACGCTTTCTGATGCGATATTGCATCCCGTCCTTATAATTTATTCTCCTCACTACACTTTTATCCGACCTGGTGGCTGTTAAACAAGACAAAATTCGACTAGATTGTGTCAAAACATAAGCCTCCACAAACCTGTCAAATTGAAAACATGCTAAGACACCACAATATCACATGTGCTATTTTTCGGACTGTTTTTTCAATTATAAGTGCAGAGAATTCAAATACACAGATTTTACAACAAAGTCTTGGTTTTTACTTTAAAAACGGGCAAATTTATTCAGATGAAGCTAGTCTCTATAGAATGTTTCATCATGGAATGGTCTCCAACTCAGTATTAGTATTATGTCCGTGCGATACTTAGAACCAGCTTTTGTCAGTCCTACATCTTTCACGGTTGGATACGACACATGGGCTACTTTGGGATATTCTGTATCTACGCCAATACTGTTTGGTGGACCTTTCTGTAAATTTTGGGTCTGTGACATCTAGGCGACTGATTCCATTGCCTTCTTTTTCTTCAGTATCTAGATGAGGGTGCTTTATGGTACATGTAGATCTGTTAGCTTGCCGGGATGACGTCTGTTGAGTTTATTAGCATTCATTGTCTGTCGTATGTGGAGTATATCGATTTCAACCCAAACATCGGCCGCCACCAATGTATTTTACCTGTGAATAAACGAATGAGGAATAATAAATTATTTGCAGCTTTCTCATCTCGATTTGGAAACGAAACAAATCAAATCTTGAAAGGCTACAGAAATACAACGCATTAGAATATCGATACAATCTCCTATCGCGTCGATCTTTAAGCACACACTTGCATCTACAGATCTTAATCAAGGACATGAATACATAATGTATTTAACAAGAGAACTAAACAAAAAGGTACACCATTTACGTCCTATGGGATGTACATGTACTCTTAAAACCAGAGCCCCTAAGCAAAACAAAGTTGAAAGATAGAACCAAACATCCATCCCTAACGTTACTTCTACATTTATTTCAAACTTCCCTTTTCCTTCTCTTCCACAATGATAGTACATAACAAGATGGGCCACTTCTCTCTTTGAGCCAATTAAAAAAGTGTCCTCAAAATTTGGTGGCGCGCTCTTCACAAAAGCGCACTCTTTGCGAACAGAGTTACCCTACTTTAGTTTTAAAAAATCAAAGTGAAACTAGCAAGTTTTGGGATAAATTTCGGAAGAACGCTTTTTTAAAATGGTTACGCTGACAAAAAACCTCTTCCGGAGGAAAGGGTGATGGTTTTCTTCGTTTAATTTGACTTTAGAATGAAAGGCGAGAGGTCAATAAAAAATTTTAAAAACTAAAACTCCGCACTGAAAGTACCCGAACTGCTGATGAACAGCAGTCGATCTGCGCACGCAAGGAGGTGCTATTCCTATTCTTCTTCTGGAAAAACGAAAGAGAGCTTCAAAACAGACTGCAGCGCCATCTGAAGCAAAGAGCATACTTCCTGCGGACACTTTTTTGGCTGAGTGGCCCATCTTGTTATTCACTATCTTTGTCTTCCATCATATTGTCCTTCAAAATCGCCTTTTACACATATATCTGACCCATCCACCTTAATGCACTCAATAGACACTCGGCATATTATGACGATTTTGGTGAGTACGGTGTTAGTCATAACCTAAAACACGGTAATCCCCTTCTCCTTCGACCCCCCCCCCCCCCCCCCGAAAAAAAACAAAAAACAAAAACAAAACAGAACACAACATAAACAAACAAACAAAAACAAAAACAAAAACAACAAAACAACAAAAAAAAGTAGTGTAAAGTTGTAAAGTTAAATCAAAGTAAAGTTTTAATAAAAGAATAAAATTAACAATTTAAAGAATAAATCACTAGATCAATAAATAAAACTCCAACCTAAAGCAAAACGAAAGAAAAAAAATCAGAGGATAAGATTTTCCTCACCATACCCCCTCTCTCCCCTCCAGAACACGTTGACGACTTCTCTACGCTAATAGTGAAAGAAAGTGAGACAGACAGACAAGCAGAAAGATTAGTCCAAATTAGAAGAGAGAGAAAGAGAGATGGAGAGGTAGATGATAGATAGATAGATAGATAGATAGATAGATAGATAGATAGATAGATAGATAGATAGATAGATAGATAGATAGATAAAGAGAGAGAGAGAGAGGGGAAGAGAGAGAGAGAGATGAGATATATATATATATATATATATATATATATATATAGAGAGAGAGAGAGAGAGAGAGAGAGAGAGAGAGAGAGAGAGAGAGAGAGAGAGAGAGAGAGTTGAATGGGTACTAGATCTGATTTGACTTGCCCTGAAGAGGGAACAAAATTTAGCAGACAACGGCCAAACAGCTGATCGGTTGGGAAGAGGAAGTAGTGAGAGTAATCTCCCCTGCTTTATTGGAATTTACAAAACAATCCACAGCTAATTACCGAAACGTAACAATAGCATGAATGATCGTAAGATCACAAGTTCAACACAGAGAGAGAGAGAGAGGGGGGGGGGCAGACAGAGAGAGAGAGACAGAGACACTGAGAAAAAGAGAGAGAGAGAGGGGTGGGAGGGAGAAAGAGGAGAGAAATGACCGTTATTACAACCGTTTAGTGCTCTTTGTATATTTGTATAGCGCATTGAACACTTATCTTGGTGGAAATGAGCTATAGAAGTAAAATTGACGGGAGGACTTCCGTAACGAGCGACCACTATGAGACAGAGCAGAATTGAGATCTAGGGGTAGGGGTAGGGGTAGGGGTAGGGGTAGGGGTAGTGGTAGGGGTAGGCCTCTTCTTTATTGTGTTTGATGGGGTGGTCGTTCGTTACGGAAGTCCTTCCTTAATTGACTATTGTTGTGTTTTTTATCTTTCCCATTTTCTCTGTCTTAAAACGTCCTTTAAAATTAGTATCTTACACACACATATCCAGCCTCATTATTTCCCTGCACTCAAAAGAGACATGAATTTGAAAATAAGTGCGAGTATGGTGATTGTCATAACATCGATTACTCCTTCCAACCCGAAAAAGAAAAAAAAATGAGAATAAAAGTAGGAATATTTTTCAAATATAAAGAAATAGAAAATAGCTAGCAAAAAATAAATAAAGGAAAGATTCTAGATCTAACTTTTTAAAAAGTAAAAAATAAATTACAAAGCAAGTTGAGAGCCAAACGAGAATCGTTGCTCAGCGCCAGAGAGCATTCTCTTAGGAACCAGCACAGTCACGTGACAATATTATTATGACGCCACTTGGTAACGGATATTGTCCCGCTTGAGTGATTGATTTCGAGAAGACGTGATTGCATATTCCGAGTGAAGAAAAAGATTTCTTGCATCCACAAAGTTGACAAAGTTTGAGTAAAGTTGCATTGTTTTGGTTATTTTCAAGTTCCTGTATTTTTCAACATCCGTTTTGATTGTGTGCTTTTTGAAGTACGTTTAATTTAGACATAGAATCTAAGCGTGTTTGAGTGTTTTGGTTTTTGGTTATTTTGTTCTTTTGTTATTTAGTTTTTTGCTTGTTTGGTTGTTTGTTTGTTTGTTTGTTTGTTTGTTTGTTTTTGGTTGGGTTGGGTTTTTTTGGTAAGTGTTTTACGGCGCTTGTTTGAGTGGGGTTTTTTGACATTTGTTCTCTTTGTATTGGTACGTGAAGAGAGAAGGAGAAACAGGGTGAGGATTTGAGGAATAAAGTCGCCCAAAGGCTCCATCGCAGGTCTCTTCTTTTCTAAGGTACGGCTGGTGGTTAGTTTTAAGCCCAACGATGAAGCGTATCCGTAAACTGTTCTTGTCTTGTTTCTCATCCTGTTGCAGGGAAGAAAGCAGCGGCCAGCTGGACCCAGGAGACTCTCAAGATCTCCATCTCTCCCTGCATAGGAGCTGCTCAAGCCAGCTGAACAAAGACCCATCCGAATGCCCTCGTGGTGATCATGCCAGATTATTGGAGGACCACGAAGAAAAGCAAGCAGGTGAAGAACTGTCTGACTCACCAAGTGAGTATTCTATTTTCAGTAGAGAAGGTTCCGCAAGGACACCAGTGATGCACCTGTCGACAGGATATCCTGACGAAGATCTACACCTGTCGCTACCCACCAACTGGGAGAACGAGTCAGACTCTGGACAGCCGGAAAGCTTCCAGGACAATTGTGCGAGTCACATTGTAGAGGCCTCCACGTATCGTGTCACGTGGACACCGGTCATTGGCGTGTCGTATGGCCTCGCAGGTCAGTATCTTGTCAATGAAGTGGCGATCAAGAGGTCCAATTCTGGAGCTCGAGCTCGGAGGAATGCTTGCCTGCCTTGTCTCCACAGCCACCACAGCCTACTGACAAGTTGTGTATGGAGGAAGCTGACATACTCGAGTGCATTTCCTTATTGTCTGAAACGGGTGCAGACTGACCATTCCAACGAAGCTGTAACGGTGAATATGATTTACCACTAGCTTAGAACCAGCAGCTACCCCCCCCCCAACCCCCCACCTGTTCTCTACCCTCCCTTGTGTCCCCCTCCTCACGTCCACCCTGTCTTTTCTCATCTTCTCCTGTTTAGCTTTTTGAGTTGATGGGCGCTTCTTCTTGAACCTTTCTGCAACCAAACATCCTGACTCCTGTTATTCTCCATGCCTGAATTGTTTTAATTCCATACCATGTTTCTGAGCACAACTCCCATGTTCTGCTAAGCCAACCCCTCCCTCTCTTGCTTATTACCTTTGCTCTTAGAATATATCTTTATATGATGACTCATTCTATTTGATACGTTCAAAATAGTTTAGGTTCATTGTCATTATGCTTTGAAGGACTGTTGATGTTTCTATACCTGTTTCCTTTCATACCCCTTCGTTAGTTTCTGCCTTTAGTATTTTAAAAAGTATTCTCGTCTCTTGTTGTTCATTGCTTCTTAATATTGCGGTGGGAATACAATATTACTTTGGGTCCCTTTTTAATTTAGTCATTGCAACGTGCTTTTCAGATGAAATGTATCCTTTTCATTTTCTATGATGCAATTTAAATTCTCTGGAATTGTTTTCTAATTCTCTTTAATCTTGGCTCCGTCGTATTTAAAATTGCGTTTTTTTGCTATTTCTCCCTCACAATTCTTAACAACATCTTCTTTGCATTTGCACATGTCTGTCATTTCGCATTTCTTTCCATTTAGATGAATTCCGTTTGGGTCACTGTGTTCGATGACAAATTCTGTTTAAAGTCTCTCATTCTCTGGAGCCAACCACTATGTGTGCAACAATTTTTAGATCCAAACAATGATATACTTTACGTGGACCAGATGAGGTTTCATTTTAATTGTTTTGTTTAGGCTCTTGATGGTGTGGTTGTTCTTACTCTTCTGGTTATAAGATTTATTGCTATCCAACTTTATACGTACCAATGCAATTTCTGATGATAAACAACTAATTTTTACTTGATTTGTGTACAAATACTTCTTTTTGATAACTCATGATACTTCTAGAGATGATAGGTTGAAAAAATCCATACTTTTTAGGCAGATGCTTGTGAATGTAGAATTACATGTACATGTATTGAGCTGACAATGTAAACACGCATTGTGACCTTTATCATTTTCTTCTCAATCTTTACAAAGTGTTTTTATTTTCATCCTAGTTTTGTTTTCTTATTACCGCAACGGTTTCATTAGGTATCAGGCATGGAACAAAACTTCAGAACAATAAAAAAAAGTCTTTCTTTTTCTCACTTATTAAAAGCACATTTTTACTTTGTCTTCCACAACTCAAAAACGGCTCCTCACCACTCCCTCCCTTGTGGAAGTCGGAAGTACTGGGCCTCA